TGCTTTCCGGTTAGAGCTGAATAGATACACTGTATCCGTGGCCTTAAAAATAAGTAAATAAAGAGAAGGCTGCCCTGGATAGAACTCTGACCCTCCCGTGAGTGAGTGAGTGAGTGAGTCACCGCAACCCAGCCTGAATCTCACATTTGCCTGGCACTCCCCCGGGGAATACTGAGGATGAGAAGAGTCCTAATTTACCTGGGCTCTGACGGCTGGGTCACAGGGCTGCTGGAGCGAGCCACAAACAGGAGAGCTTGCTCCATACTGCGTGTGCAACTGGGCCGTGATTGGCGTGTGCCGGTGTTTGATTCGTTCCGCCTTACCCTCACATGCCTTTGTTAACATTTAGTGACATGCTTTTAGGTTTTGTGACTACCGAGGGTGGAAGGCTGTAAACTCAGTTTTATTACCGTTTGCCAGGGCCCAGGGATGTGTTGAGAAAAAAAAAAAAAAAAAAAAAAAAAAACACGTTAAAGAAAATGGTTACTGAACAGAACGCGTCTAAAGAGAATGGAGTTTGAAACACATATCATGAAGCTACAAGGTTAATAGCCTTTTTTAAAAAAATATGTTTATTTTATGTGTATGAGTGCTCTGTCTTCACCAACACCAGCAGATCCCGTTACAGATGGTTGTGAGCCACCATGTGGTTGCCGGGAATTGAACTCAGGACCTCTGGAGGAACAGCCAGTGCTCTTAACCCCTGAACCATCTCTCTAGTCCCCACCCCCAATAACGTTGATATCTTAATAGTTAATAGTTGTCACGTTTATAATTACATTAACCTGTCTTGTGGAATGAGATCCTTGAAGGATCTAGAGACGGTAGATACAAAAACAAAACAAAACAAAACCTGTCTATAGCCAGGAATGACAATGGACAGTGGAAAGGGCCATGAAGTCTGTGGGGGCCAGACCCGGATGGGATGGGTCTGATGACTTCTGATTTGAAGCAGAATTGGTGTGTTGATGGGTAGATGTCCTTTTGTATATAATGTTTCTCTTATTGGTTGTGAATAAAACACTGTTTGGCCAATAGCCAGTAGAGGCAGGAAGATAGGCCAGGCAAGGAGACAAGAATTCTGGGAAAGGTAGGCAGAGAAGGCCAGAAGGGGACACATGGAGGGACCGGTAGGATAGGAGGTGCAGGGCATTCTGTGGTAAGATAAGGCCATGTAGAAATACATAGATTAATAGACATGGGTTACTAATTAAGACAGAGCTAGCCAATGAGCCCTAGTCATCAGCCAATAGTTTTGTAATTATTATAGTGTTTGCATGCCTGTTTGGGGCTGAGAAGGGCAGCAGGACCTGGGGGGACTCTTTTCTCCCGTGACTTAGGGGGAATATTCATAAAAGCCAGTGTTCTTTGAGTTTTTGATTCATATCTCATTTGAGCATTTGGTAAAAGCTATAGGTAGCTTATATCAGGTCTGTGCTTTGTTAGTCAGGGCGTGTCTTGGGAATTGCTAGGTGTCCAGCGATAGCCCTGCCTGATGCCATCAGTATCCCATTTCCAGCGGTGGCAACTAGACACGTTTGAAGAAGCTGGGTGTGGTGGCCCACACCTTTAGTCCTAGCACTCAGGAAGCAGAGGCAGGACCATCTCTTGAGTTCCAGGGCAGCCTGGTCTACAAATCCAGGCCAGGGCTGTCACACAGAGAAACCCTATCTTGGGGGGAGAAAAAAAAAAAAAAAAAAAAGTCTGAAGACATTTACAGATATTCCCTGTGTGATCAGCGTTTACAGCAGTAAACTTGAAAATATTTCTTTCCTTTGTTGTCTCCTCTTTATCCGCACAATGTTTTTGTTTTTTGTTTTTTTTTTTTGAGACTGCTACCCAGACCCTCTTGTCTTCTGTCTGCTTTTTACCCTTGAAGGCGTCTTCTTCATTCCATTGTCTGAGTGCCACTGCCTAGAGAGTATGGTATAACGGTGATTGTGTGTGATGACCAGGGCGTTTGGTTTGAAATATAAAGGAGAAGGGCTGGAAAAGGAGTGGAGAGGAGGGGGCGCGCGCCCGGGCCGCCCGCGGCGCGCGGGCGGGGGGGGGGGGGGGGGGGGGGGGGGGCGGGGGCCGGGGGGGGGGGCGCGTGTGTGTGTGTGTGTGTGTGTGTGTGTGTGTGTGTGTGTGTTGGCGGAAGGCGGTGCCTCTGCCTTGCTACCAGCTGGTGTCTTGCTTCAGTTACAGGGATGTGACAGCAGGTTAGATGTGAGCTCCTTCAAATTTCTGTGCACATTCCTAGTTTCGAGCTTGAAAACTACAGTACTTCCGGTAACATTTTTCTTTTTCTGCTTATAGACAGTTTCTCTAAGATACTATGCAATAAGAACTTGCTGAGTTCCTGTCTACATCCACCATGGGGTGAAGGTGCCTCTATGGAGATGGAGGAGGTTTATGGATCTGTGGGGGTGCTCGTTGGGAACCCTAGGCTGAAGGATGTGGTGAGTAGCCACCAGCATAGCAGTTCTCAACACATAGATTATTTGAGGGAGTTTTTCAGTTTATCTGTGGCGGGTAAGATAATACCTATATTAATAAAACGGCAATGGGATTTACTAGACAATAAAATTGAAATGGTCCAGGCTGGGCGTGGAAGTTCACACCTGTAATCCCAGTACCCAGGACAATGAGGCAGGAGGATAGCCAAAGATTTGAGAGGCTATGTAATGAGTTCAAGGACAGCCTGAGTCAGATCCTGTCTGAAAACAACAACAACAACAAAACCAAAATAAAACAAAAAACAAAGCAAAACAACACTACCTTCACCACCAACCCAGAACAAGTACACAGAGAGGCTCCTTCCTGTTTCAGTGGGTTACAGATGAGCCCTGCATTTCCAGCTCTGGTTCCAGCTTCTCTTCAGCACTGATGGTTCCAGGTGCCCAATGCCCACCCCTGCCTTGATGGTTCCAAGGCATTTCATGTTAGTGTCAGGCTATAGTGACTCTATGAAGCTGTTGATTGTAAGTAACCTTTATGTCCAGTAAGAATTTACAACACGCTACCAATTGAGCTATGACGTAGTGCTACGGTGCTCTTAACTATAAGGTAAATCTTGATTTCAGCAGTACTAGAAGAAGTTTAAGCAGTAACGTGGGCTGTTAGGACAGCGTCGAAAAACAATAAGTGCTTAAGAGCAAGAGAGACTCAGCTTGTGTTCTGGATACTCAGCAACGGTGTTAAAAGACAGTGAGGAGGAGCTGAGTGCATGGAAAGGTGCCTACCATCCATCCCCGTGTCAGTCAGGAGATTCCAAATCATACCAGGTCAGTAACCTCTGCACTGGTGTACAGATTCAGTGTAGTCCCTACCAAAATCCCACCGGCATCTTTGCAGGTGTTGAAAACCCTGTCTGAATTATGGGAGCCGAGAATAGCCAAAACGATCTCAAAAATACCAACACTGGAAGATGCACATGTCTCAGCTTGAAAACTTATGACAAAACTATAGTCATCAGTACGGTATGGCAGAGGCCAAAGGACGGCTATCCGCATCGGTGGATGGAACTGAGAGTCTACAGCCGTGTGGTGTCCTGTCACTTCTTTCACGACTGTGAGAAAACACCTGACAGAGGCGGCTTCAGGAGAGAAGGTGGAGAGTGCAGGCCGTCCAACGTGGGCTGGAGGGTGTAGGTAGGAGTCCCAGGCAGCCGGTCACATTGTTTCTGTGGTGAGGAAGCCTCCTTTTTATTCATTTGGGGACCCCAGAAAAAAGAATGGTGCTGCCCCCATTTGGGGTGAGCCTTCCCAGCTCAAACTGCAGTCTAGAAAATAGCCAGAGGCTTGCCTCCTAGATGATCCAGTCAAGTTCACAGTAGTAACGGTCAGAGCAGCCAGAGAATGTCCAACACCAGTACCTAAAACCATCCAGCAGGCTAAGGAAGTCTTTTAAATAAATGGTCCGGTGGCAACTGGGTATCCGTGAATGTGGTTAGACTAAAGCACAAAATAACGAATCTGCCCAAGATACCAAACCCTCTGTCTCGTGGAGAAGCTTAGGTGTCTCTGTGCGTTCATCCCATTCCATGTAGCCAGCATTCAGCATAACCCTTGGCATGATGTGGGCGCCTAGGACATATGTTTGTGTGCCCGGATGATGGGGAAGCCTGCGGGGCCCCTCAGAGCCTGCCTTCCACTGACAGTGGCAGTTACCTCACCTGGTGGTTCAGCCCTGTTTATCTGGCTGCACCCATACAGGGTTTGTGCTTCCTGCAGTCCTGATGGATGTCTTCATTAGTCAGCACCTGACACACAGTAGGTAGTCAGTCCATGTAAATGGGTGAATGACAGGTAGCCAGTTATGAAAGAAATCAGAAATATCAATGACTATTGGTGTGGCTGATATTTGGAAATCTTTTCCTCTCTTGGGATCCTACTAAGTGCAACAGTAAAGGACATTAGAACACGTAAGCCACCAAGACAAGGCAGAAGGAAAGAGCTTTGTCACACAGGAGAGGAGAGGGTTCTGCCCGGAGAGCAGTCAGCAATTCTAGGTGAAACTGAGCAATTCTAGGCCGGAAGCCGAGGGACTGAGTGGAGGTTTCATCTGAATACAGAACACCCTTCCCCCCTCCCTATCCCAGCTGAGCCTGGGAGCAGACAGTCTCCACCTCCAGCTAAGACTGGGAGAATTTTTCTGAGAATTAGGAATTAGATCCAATAGAAATACCTAAAGATACAGGTAACTGCAGTTCTCCTAGACCTGTTTGCAATGAATCCATTTGAAAAATGCTAGCTCCCTTCACTGACCTTCCGGTCAGTCCAGAACTTGAACTATTGTTGACCTAACACCAAGGATAACCACACATGAGAAACCCCAACAGCAACTGGGGAAGAAAGCAACCTCGGGAATAGACTGTGGAGAAAGAAAACTTCAGAGACCCATGGGAGAGACACTGGCCTTAAAGAGACCTAACCAGAGTACAATCCTAGTGCTATTTTAGAATAAAGGAACACTGTGGGACAGCAAAACCAATTTTAATGTTTTTCCATCTATCTGCCAGTAGCAGTGCTGGCTCAGGAGAAAGGCTGAGAGATAAAACTGAAAAACCTGTAGGAAGAAGCCTAAGAAAGCAAAGGAACTGTGTGGTGTTGTGTATGTTTAATCTCAGTACTCAGGAGGCAGAAGCAGGCAGATCCCCACAGTCAGGCCAGGCCAGGCAGGGCTACAGTGAGACCCTGCTCAGAAATTGTTGGGAGTCAAATCTCAGGGCTGGGCATGAGATCCTAGGCCATTCCTGGCCGGCCACATAGTTGTATATTAACCTTTACATAGCAGCTTCTTAGAACCTCAGCTGAAGAAAAGAAACAACTTGACCCAGTCCTCCACGCACAGGCTCAGTCACCTAAGCAACCCCTTCCTGGACCTCTTACTCATAAACTCTTTACCCTGCCAAACATCCTCTTTGTGGCTTCCTAATATCCTGCCTACACTAACACCTGGTGCACAAACAACCCATTCTGCCTGTCCCCATATCCTGCTCTGCTGACTATATAAGCTAGCCTGAGAAAAGTAAAGTTTGCCCCTTGATCAGAATCCTGTCTTGTGGTCATTCTTCCTGCGTCTCTTGCCCCCATTCCCTATCCCTGACTCTCTCGCCCCAGGTTGACGTCCTACGGGTCGGGACAGAAAATCTGAGAGGAAAAGACAGTCAAGGGCTTATTTCAGCTGAGAAATCCAACATCCAGCTGAGAAGGGTTCCAGAAAAGGACAGAGTGACCAGAGAGGAAAGAGTCATAAAAATGTAATTATGAAAACCACCACACAGATTTGCTAGCTCAAAATCTCCATGAGTGAGTGTGGACACAACAGATGGGGGGAAGAAACACACCAAGGCACAACCGTGACATTTTAGGACACTGGGGACAGAAAGAATCGCCTATATATTTCTGAAGAGGAAAAATGAATTAGTTTAGACCAGGCAGTGGTGGTGTACACCTTGAATCCCAGCACTCCGGAGACAGGCGGATCTCTGTGAGTTTGAGACCAGCCTGGTCTATAAGAGCGAGTGCCAGGATAGGCTCCAAAGCCACAGAGAAACCCTGTCTCGAAAAAAAAAAATTAATTAGTTTTATCAAAGAAAGAAAAACTGGTGTTTGAGCAATATTGGACAGAAACTAATGGAGAAAGACATAAAATGCATTGAATATTTTCATTTCTTTGTGTTATTCTTGCTGAGTTTATTGGAAGATGGGCTCCACTAAAGCAAGGGAGCAAGGGGGAAAAGGGGGTAGTGGGGTGGCCTAGATCAGGACATAGGCATGGAGCCCAAGAGAGATGAAGGAGGTACGGGAGAGGAGGCCAGGATGGCAGCCGGCAGGCCAGTCAGGGTAGCTGCATGCAGACATTTCAAGAATCGATTATTTCACAAGTATGAGCTTGAGGGGAGATTATATAACTTGGATTTAATTGGTAATAAGGCCATCCAGGAGAAAAAAAAAAAAAGCCAAGAATAAGCAAAACAAGTCTCAGCTACGGGAAGATTAAGGTTTCACAAGGCAAGTTGATTTCTCCTGTGGCTCAGCAGCAAGCAGCATTTACATCATGAGGGTGGCAGGCATATGGATCGGGTGTGGGGCGTGGGGGGTGCACACGTGGAGCTCAGAGGACAACAGAAGTCAGTTCTCTATGTGTGTTCCAGGGATCAAAACGTGGTCATTGTGTTCTCAGGCCTTACCCACTGAGCCATCCCACCCCCTCTCCTGAAACCACAACTCTAACCACAAACATAAGTCCCTTGAGCAGGCTGAGGGATGTATTAGTGGGAAGAAGACCAGATAAAAAGCCACAATGTTGTCTGCCAATGTGGGAGGTCCGTAAGAGAGGGGGGATTCCGGGAAATGGTAAACAAGAGTTATTTAGATGTGTTCACAAGACTAAACTACTTGTAAGGAGCTGCTGCTGCTGCTGCTGCTGAGAAGGTTGTCAGCGGTCAGAGACAGCTGTTTTCCCATAACTGCTGTTGTAGGACGAGTTGGTTTCTCTGTGCAGCCCTGGCCGTCCTGGAACTCTCTCTGTAGAGCAGGCTGGCCTCGAACACACAGAGATCTGCCTGCCTCTGCCTCCCGAGTGCTGGGATTAAAGGGAGCTAAATTTCTTAAATGTGTGCATTTTTCACTGTGACAAATACAAAACGAAGCCTGGTTTGTGGTAAAGACCTGTGATCTCAGCACTCTGGAGGTAGAGGCAGGACCAGGAGTTCAAGGCTATCTATCGTTGGATACATAGTAAGTTTGAGACCAGCCTGGAATACACGAGACCTGGTCTAAAAAAACAAACAGGACAACAACCCTCAGGCAAAATAAAAAGTAAAATTAATTTGTCAACAAAATAACTTTTATTTCTAAGGGTTCAGCCATGTCTGATTCTAGGCATTCCAGGCAGTGCATGTCTTCACAGCTCTCTGGGCTTCAGGAAGGTGTGCCTGTCTAGATACTATGCTAAGGTTCCTGTGTCTCCCTGCAATTGCACTTCCTTCCTGTCATTCCATTTCTCTAGCTCTTTCCATACCATTCTTATCATTAGATTGTCAGGAGGCTGACCAAACCAGCGTACGGAATGTTCCGATGTATTGCAGCCACCCTTGCCTTCTTTTGTTGCTGTGAGGCAGTCGGGTGGAAAACCACACAAGCTCCTAGGCAGTGTTTCCCACCCATTGTGTTGGGTGGAGGCCCCTCCCTGGGTTTGAATCCTTTCAATAGTCTCAGTCTGATGGGTGATCTTGATTCGTCTAAGGTCTGTTGACTGAGAAATCTGTCCAAAGAGTGCCTCTGTCGGTTTCTAGCTTCCAATAGTTTGGGAAGACTTAACACAACAAAACAAAGCAAACCGACTTGGTATGAGAGGTAGCTTTGGAGGAGAGAAGACAATAAAAATGTTAGTAACACTTTGAAATGTAACTGCTGTTTGGATGAATGTGGCTACTGATGCTTTTAATACATGCTCATTGTGCTATCAATGCATGTGTGAGATTGATTTTAGCAATCGTTCAGCCACGAAGGCACAGAAGAATGTCTGGTGACTGATTCCCCAGTTAGAAAATGGAAGAGTTGGGCTGAGGGAGTCCAAGACTCCTTTCCGTTGAACGTCTCTGACTTGACTCATCAGGAATTTCTGTGGTAGTGGAGTTTAATGAATTTTACTTATAAGAGACAGCAGAAATCACCCCAGATTTCATCTGTGTGAAAACTTGAATAGGAAGATCATTAAGTAGAAATGGTTTCTATATTCCGTGGAGGTGGGTCACATGGTTGAGGGATAAACAAAAAGGAATGTGAATTAAGGGAAACTGCTTGTTGAAATTCCTGTGGCTACATCAATCTATTTATTCTTGTCCATATTTTAGGTGAAGACAGTTTAGACAGCTTACAACCCTGGAGAGAGACTACCCCTTTTCAGGGTCTATTAATTCCTATGGATAAGACAGTTTGCCTAGGAAAGGTTTGAACTTCATGTGCAATTCCAAGTCTGTGCCCACGGCCACTTCCTTTCTCTAATGCTTCCATGCTATGTCAATTTCCTATCTGCCTGCTCATTCCCAGCAGCCCACAGTCCTGCCGAAGCTATCCAAGTTAGCCAACTCTGTCTTGTCTTCTGGAAGGTTCCAATAAAAGCTCTTGCCTCAACCATCCCTTCTGTCCTCTTTTTTACCTCTAACCAAACCCTGGTGTTCCTCACACAGCCCTGTGGTGCTCTGTGGGCCTCCTGTCAAGCAGTGCAGGTAATAAATTCTCTTCCCATGACACTGACCTCTTTGTGTCTTCCCTCAGCCACTAATGAATCCACCTGCTACCATCTTAGGCTTAAAAGAAAAGCTAGGCTTTTAAGACAAACTAGGCTCAATCCTGTTTATGATTAAATCTCTGTTTCTCAAAGATGAGCCAAACAGCAACCTTGTCTTCGTTTCAAAAAGTATAATAACCATCCTGGATCCCTACCTTTTTTTCAAAAGTTTATTTTGACCTCCTATGACTACCTGCTGTTATGCCCACCTTGCAACCATGTCTTTGTTTCAGGAAGTCATTATGACTAACTTGTTATGCTTCTGTTCTGCTCCTGTAACCCCGCCTATTTTGCCTGCCAAATCTCCATTTAGAGTCCCCCATCCCCAGCTATGAAAACCTTTTTTCTTCACTTGCAATGCTGACCTCTCAAACCCTGCCTTAGGGGGAGGCAGCCCATGTACACAAATAAAACGGGTTGTTTTAGTTAATTGCTTGCTTTAAGTTAATTTGGCCATGAGGATTTGGGTCTGTGATCTTTCCCCTCCCATCTCTGGGATTAGCATCACCCCCACTTATGGAACCCAGTACACGCAACGAGACGGTGACCTGCATCCAGCTGTTGGTGTGTGAACTGAGGAACGCTTGACTTTCCTCGATCCTTCCAGAGGAAGGGAATTGGTTCTTCTGCACAGAGCTTATTATAATCATCGATGCCTGATGGCCTCCTGGCCAGTCCCTGTGAGAGCCACTTAGCTTTCCAATACTTCCTGACAGCACACCAAACCTGTCGAATGGATAGCCAACAACACAGTCAGTCATAGCCGGTGCCGTACTACGCTCAGGTCCCTCATGCCCTCTTCCTATACGAAAATCAATCTACTGCTACCTAGAGCTTCCTGAAGGTAATAGTAACAGCTACAATTTATCCAGTGCCTGTGGTGTGCCCCTACCCCTCACATAAAGGCTTCAGAGCAGTGCCGATGAGCTGTCACATACTGATAAAGAAACAGACACTATGAGATTTCCCTCATCACTCAGATGTAAGACAGATAGACGGTGAGTAAAGGAGCCAGGGTTGAAAATTCAGATTGACCTAACCCCAAACCCTAATTTCTGACCCCTAAACTGTCCTGTGGTGGTTGTTTCTCCTTCCAGCAAATATGCTGTGTGTTTTGTGTGTTACACTTAGAATGCCTTTGCTGGGAGCCAAGCCTGTTCCCTGGCCACTTTTCTGGGCTACACAGGGAAATATTTCTTGTTTCTCAGCCTGAAAAATGAGAGATCTAGAGTATTCTTTTCATGCTAACAATTTGAATTCTTGACATACAATTATAACTTTGCTATGATGTATTTATGCCCTTCTTAATTCCAGAGCTAATTCTGAATATCCAGATGCTCATGTATTTACTTAACTGACATTTTAACCATTTTTCTTGAATATGATTTCAGGAAGTTGTTAAAATATGAACCTTAAAGAGAGCTATCATTGTTTTCTTCCAATCTTAAGGTCTGAAAAAAATAGATTAAACACATCTTTAATAAGCAAATCATTTGGAGTAAAGGAAACACAGCCAGCAGATCCCCAGCACACTCGTGTCACTATGATTGCTAAGGCGAGTGTATGTGTGCAGATTAGCCTTAGTCATTGATCTGTCACTGGTGGGCCCCATCAGTCAGTGGAGAGGAGGCAGGCACACAGACCTTTCTGCCTCCCACCATTTTTGTGTCTTAATTGATGGCTCACCCGGGCCAGACCATTAGTTCACTAGGGTCTCCGAGCAGAACAGTGCACATTCCCTGTCCCTTGTCCCGTTATCCCTTGAGTCAGCTCAGGCCTGGAACATTGGGCATCCTACCTTGTTTCTCTTTCAGCATTTGTCCTTGGAGGTCACCCAAGTCAAGACTTCAGCCTCCTAGCTCAGTGAGTCTCCAGGAGACTGTCCCTGGTAGTTAACTTGCTTCTGAAGTAGCCCAGCTGACCAGAAAGGAGGACAGCACACAGGTTTAAGACCTTGCTGTTGACTAAAAGCAAGTCAGAATTAAGTAAAATTTGCCTGTTCAATAAAACATTTTGAGTTTGGGTGATAAAAGATGGCAGAGAGAAAGAAAACACATTGAGAGAAACGGGGCTAGAGATTATTTCTCGTAGTTTTGAGTCCAAAGTTTTGGGGGAATAGACATTCTTTACCCCGATTTTTAGTTTGGCAGAATGCACATTTATTGTAATATCAGGGGCCCTTCCTTTCTGGAGAAGGCCCGTGGCAGGGTTATTATCCTTGCAGTCTGAGCTCCTCGGCCCCAGCTGTCTCAGCAGTTCCTTTCGAGTGCCGCAGAAAGCTGCTCCTCGGTGTGATCATGAGTCAGCAGCATTAAAACTTCAAATCATAATAGGCATTGGAATGAAATTAGCAGCCCCAAATGATTGGGAATGCAGCTGAGTAAGCATCCAAGGAGGGCGTGCTCCTCGATGACACCAATACACCTGGTTGCTGCCCAGTTAGGAAACAGGTAAGTCAACCTGCTAGACAAGTCCAACAGAGACCAAGTGAGAGCCCTGAGACTGTGAGAGCGGCCCACTGGCTTGTTCCCATGGCGCTACTTTGGGTTCAAAAAAGAATAAGGAAAGAACTGCCAAGGAACTCACTTATCAACACATGCAGAGCAGGTCCCCAGGACATTCTCGCTGGGTAGTTTGGTGTCATCACTTTGGTTAGTATTGCAAGCAGGTGCCTGCTCTAGCATTGGGTAGACACCTCAGATGCCTCTCACACTGGAAATCCCTGGAGTGCCCCCCGGAGTGTGATCAACCTGGAGACCCAGACAGACAAGAGTACTGTCTCCCTCCTGCCACCTTGCTCTACTCGCCCCTAAATTGGCCTCCTTCCTCCCCACAAATAATCCCATTCTGGCTGTAATCACATAAACACACACAAATCTAGGTTATCCAGGAGGGAAAGCACGGAACATTTGCATTTCTGAGGCTGGCTTATTTTGCTCAACATGGTGTCCTCTAGTTCAGTCATTTCCCTGCAGATGATATAATTTCATAGTTTAAAGAATGAGTGGCTAAGTAAATTCCACCGTGTGTGTGTGTGTGGAGAGAGAGAGAGAGAGAGAGAGAGAGAGAGAGAGAGCTCACATTTTCTTCATTCATCTGTAATGGAAAGCAAACCAGTTTTACAGGTAAATGACCTGACCAAGGAAGATGCAGTGTCCTCTCTCTCTCTCTCTCTTTCTCTCTCTCTCTCTCTCTCTCTCTCTCTCTCCCTTAAAGGCCCCCCCAGACAGGGTTTCTCTGTATAGCTTTGGAGCCTATCCTGGGACTCAGCCTGTAGATCAGGTTGGACTCAAACTCACAGAGATCCACCTGCCTCTGCCTCCCCAGTGCTGGCATTAAAGGCGTGCGCCACCTGGCATCCCCAAAATATTTTCTTCTTCATTTCCCTCATCCTGGACAAAAAGCAAATCAGACATTTTTTTCTCCAACCACAGCTCAGCGCCATCACAAGCACAGAGGAGAGAGCGGAAGGGGAGAGGAACCCGCTTAAGGGAGTAGGAGTGGGTACTGAAAACCATCTCGAGGATAACCAAAGGCTGCTGGAGCAGAATCATCGTGAGCTCGTTCTTGTGGATAAACATGTTGATTTCTGGGAATAAATCACATATGTCTGGTCTACTCACTTATTAGCCTCCTGAAAATTACATTATAGGGATTTTTTTTTCTTTACATCATTTTCTCAATTGCTACTTGGAAATCGTCATCACAGCAGGCAAGCAGTGCTCACTGAAAGAGAACCGGCGCTATAGCTATGTGTCTGTGAACAGGAATACATACATACTTTGGCCAGGAGCACCGCTTCTAGTCCCCCGAAGGAGGGGGAGGAGCCAAGCTCACTGAAGACCAGCAGGGGCCAGGCAAGCATTCTG